GCAAGCCTAACATGATTAAGATAACTAGCACTAAAGAGGAGGTAATTGTCTAGCACGTGTTGAGGCTAGATAAGCAAGGATTCTCACCCTAACTCACTAATGTGGAGGGTATAGCCAATTCTCTGCTTGCTGAGCGCTACTAGACCCCTATTAGCAAGAACTAGGCTGCTAACTTTATTAAACGTTGGCTAGAGCTTAAAGTCAAGTTTAATCGCAAGTACAACTACAAGAGAGCGCTGTGTGAGGATCCTAAGGTTATTAGTAACTAGTTCTAGCTTGTAGAGAATACTAAAGCTAAGTATAGTATCCTAGATAAAGATACCCACAACTTTAATAAATCTGGCTTTATAATAGGCGTTATATCTACTGGTGCTGTTGTCACAGGCTCTGAGCGTCAAGGGAGACCAAAGACAGTGCAGCAGGGCGACCAAGAGTGGACTAGCATTATCTAAGGCATCTGCGCAAAGGGCTGGTCTATCCCACACTTTATTATCCTCTCTAGCAAGCACTACCTCTCAGCCTAGTACAAGGAGCCTAGTATACCTAATAACTAGGTTATTAGTGTCTCTAACAACAGCTAGACTAATAATAAGCTTAGAGTTAAGTAGTTAAAGCACTTTAATAAGCACACAAAGGCGCGCACTATTAGCAGCTACTAACTGCTTGTTCTAGACAGCCACAAGAGCCACAACTTAGTCAAATTCCACTAGTACTATAAGGAGCACAAGATTATCACTCTGTGTATGCCCCCACACTCATCCCATCTGCTACAGCCGCTTGACGTGGGTTGTTTCTCCCTATTAAAGAAGGCCTATGGCCGCCAAGCCGAGCAGCTGATGCGGAGCAAGATCACTCGCATCACCAAACTTGAGTTCTTGCCGTGCTTCAAAGCTGCTTTTAATGCTTTAATTACTAAGAGCAACATCTAGGGAGGATTTAGAGGCGCTGGCCTAGTCCTGTTTAACCTAGAGGCTGTGATATTAAAGCTTAAAGTACAGCTACGCACGCTAACGCCACCTATTATAGACAACAGCACGTAGGAGTCTAAGACACTAAGCAACACCCTAGAATTTAGGTCTTAATTAAAGCTAATTTAAGAGAGGATCTAGAGACACGCTAATAGCTTACTAATATTAATAGTTAACACCCTTAATTAGCTTACTAAAGGCGTAGAGCTAATAGCGCGTTTACTAGTTTTAGTGCGTAACCAGGTTGCTAACCTTTAGGTAGCTAACAAGGCTGCTACACGCTGTAAATCACACAAAAGAAAGCAATTACAGCAAGATAGGGTATTAACCTTTGCTAAGGGAGTGCAGCTAACTACTCTAAAGGAGTTTAAGGCCTGTAGTGATAGGAAGAAGGCAAAGAAGAGAGGAGGCGCTAATAGCAGCACTTAGTTATTAAGACACTGTAGCATGTGTGGCAAGGCAGGGCACAACAGGACAACGTGTAAGAAAGATGTGCAAAGTACTGTAGATTAGTGCAATATACTGTGTAGTATATAATATTGTTGTTGTGTGCTGTAATGTTGTAAAGTAGTTGTAGTGTTGGTGTAGTCTTAGCAAAAGTAAGCCACTCGCTTGTGTGAGCCACTCGCTTGTGGAGTACGTTATTCTAGACAGCTACAAGAGCCACAACTTAGTTAAATTCTACTAGTACTGTGAGGAGCACAAGATTATTACTCTGTGTATGCCCCTACATCGGGAAAAGTTTTTCGAAATCTGGCCCAGACTGGCTGTTGCTGACAGTCGTGGCATGGTCGTGCAACGGCCGTTCAACGGCCCCAACGGCCCCAATTTGCGCCCAACAGCCCTAATTTCGCGCCAACGTTGCCAACAGCCAAAACACTAAGTGCCCATATTCAACAAACTCAAAACAACGTTGCAACGTTGTTGCATGGCTACCCTCAGTTCTGCTAGCACTAGTATTAAATATTCAAAAATTGCGAAATTTCACGTACAGATAGAGCGAAATTGTAGCTTCAAAATGAGCGAAAAATTATTATTGTAGGCCTACTACAACACGAGTTATAGAGCGTTGAAGGTTTGTTTGTTGAAGGTTTGTGTTTTGAAGTTGCGACAGCACACCGCAGCAGCTGCAGCTGCGCCAGCACACAATGTATCAGCTGCAGCTG